TGTGGTTCAGAATTCATATCACCATATAAATTTTGATTTTTTTTTTCTATAAATCTTATTAAGATGAAATTTTTGGATGTATATACCTAACACTATTGCGCACCATAAAAAATATAAAAAAAATATTTCCAATAATTTAAAATGACCAAATTACCCCCATCATTTTTAGGGGTATTTCAATCATTTTGATAGAAGGTAAATCGTAGTACATTGGTTATAATAAAACTGAAAAAATGACTAAAGAGTCTAGAGACACCCCTTTCTTGGTCAATTCATCTCCCTATAAACATGTTGGAATGAAACCACCATTAAAGTAAGGAACCCATGGCTTATAACCACAAATATCTTAGTCGCCAAAGAGGTTTAAAAACATAGGAACACCAATTAATAGAAAGTCTCCTTTAAGAACCAAGGCATTCCAACATCGATCTTTCCAAATCAAAACTCGGTTTGTTGTCAGTACTACACAGGCCAGCACAACAAAATAAGATAGACCCTGCACTACCCCTAACACACCACCTACACCCGCAGTTATTGGGTTTCCAAGTGATGATCCATCGAAATTGATATTAAAACTGCCTTGTATCGGTGGAACCCATCTAAACATCTATCGAATCATTAGGAAGCGATAAGATATTAAATTTCTCAAATTTAGGAAAACATCAACTTTAAAAACCCCAAATGCTTCCTTAGTTACCCTGAACCAATTCCAAACCGTGTTCAATATTTTATTTTTAGCGGGCTCAAATCATACTTTTAAATGCTTGATCGATTAAGCACAGTTAAAACATATTTAACTTGTTTAACAAAGTGTTAAGCAACCTCAACGGTTAATCTCTTATGAGTGTTGCCATCAATGTTCCAAAGTATGATCCTAATTGCGAGTGTGTATACTATGATCCCACACGAGCATAATATATAGTTGATTGCAAAAATGAAACAACTAATTGAGAGAATTTTGTTAATTTGAACTTTGGGATCCACCTAAGAATCAATAGATTGTTATTTTAACCAAAAAAAAAAAAATTTGAGTGCTTTAACACTTCAATCTCACCCTCCAAAAATTGACGGTCTCTATTTAATCTCATGATGTTAAATCTTTCGGGCACTTACGGAGAGCGATTTGGTGGATAAAAAATCATCCAGGTTAGTAATTATCTAGACTGGGTTATACCCGGTGAAGAAAAGTATGCTCTCCCACAAGCACAGAATCGTTTGACCCCTAACTGGATCAACAATGCATTAACCTTGTAGATCAAAGATAATCACAGATGCAACAACATAGTTATTATCAATAAAGAATGTGATTATGGTTTGGATCATTATTGTCTGCAATATTTGAATCATATCCGACACCAAACTGGGAAAGTGTTGAGTTGGGTCTATTAGTGGTTTGAACGGCCATGAAACTGGTTGGATTGAATAAAACCAATCAATACCCAACAATATCCGAAAAACAATTTCCAAATATGCGTTAGCTAAAGAATATTTGAATATCCAGTTTTTTCTTGGACCAACCAGTTGGGGTTTGAACTAGCCTGGTTCTGATAATATTGATTTGGAGCAAGCTTGATTTTCACTACTTGTCAACCCAAACAAAAAGAACAAGACATCAATACAAGGGAAGGGAAGGGAACATGGTTGAGGGTAGGGGTGAGAATTGACCCGATTCGGATCCGAAATCCAGATTTTGGACCCTATTTGGATCCAGGTATGGACCCCAAGTTTGGATATGAAATCTTTATTTGGATCCAAAAGTCTGGTCCGAATCAAAATCCGGATCAAATCTGGGTGCGGGTGGATTCGACCCGAATTTTACCCAAATCCAGATCCAACTCAGTTCTTTTAAAATAGTAAATTTTTATTTTATACATAAATATTTAAAAAAAATAGTATATATAATTCAAATATGATGTATTTGGATTCAAATACAGATCCGATGTATACTATTCGGATCTGGATAAAATCCAAATATCCAAAAGCTTTTGACTTAAGCTTTGGATAAAATCCAAATATCCAAATATCCTTAGGGACCATCACTATTTTCAAAAGCTTTTGACTTAAGCTTTTCTTATCTTATAACGTGGCTTGTAGTTTCTCTTATGTGTTGGCCCTTGACAATCCACTATGACGTGTAAGTAAATTAAATGTGCTATCTTCCTATGGTATAACCATGAGATGCGTCTTTTTAACTGAAACTTTTATCATTGAGCTCTTGTGCATACTGATTCCATAAGATCTACTGTAAACGGGCGGCCTTTTAGTGCCCCAACCAACATATACAAAAAGCATCAATTTCGTGAGTGATTATAAGTAAGTGACATCGTCTTCCTGAAAAATAGTCTGTTTTTAATAAATAGTGATATTTTCGTCCAGGATCTTTATTTTATCAGTTTTATGTGTAAGTGACCTCATTGTCTTGAAAAATAATCCATTCTTTTTAAAAATAAAATGAAATAATTATTTCTGCTTATTATCATGAATTTTAGGTGTGATAAATTTTATGCGCACACGACCTCATTATCTTGAAAAATAATCTTTTTAATAAAAATTGTGATATTTTATCTATGTTAGAAATTTTAAATGCTGTAAATTCTTAGAAAAATAAAGTTATTTATTTTTCTTGGCTATTGTTAGAAAATTTTAGATACTATCAAATTATTAGAAATAAATGTGATATTTCTGCTTTTAGTAAAATTGTGATATTTCTTTCTACTGTTTTGAATATTTAGACATTGTAAAATTCATGTGCAAATGACTGCCTTATTATTTAAAAATTGACATTTTTGCAATTG